GTCTTGTCTTGTCTTGTCTTCTTGTCTTTGTCGTCCGCTCTATTCAGCTGGATTTGGAAACACAGGGCGAGAAGGTGGGGGCTGGGTGGTGAGGGTTATGGGGGCAAGAAACGCAAAAGTAACGCAATAGTTACTTTTACTAGTAACTAGTTACTTTTATTGTGGAGTAACTCAGTTAGTAACTCGGTTACTTTTTGGGAGAAGTAACTAGTAACTATAACTAATTACATTTTCAAAGTAACATGCCTAAGACTGGTTACGAGCGGCGATCAGCCTCTCACGACCACCTCCCGATCAGGAATCGTGAGGTCCTGACTGTCGTGGGTAAATTGCTCACTGCTCATGCACAAACAAGGATTCTTCTGTAAACACAGCAGCGTGGCAGGGATGCAATGAATGAAATGCAGTTCTGTCTGTAAAATTGACCGACCGTAGTAGCCACATTTGCTCGGCCATGTCTTTTTTCCAAAATATGTCGTCGCCTTTTCTTTTTAGGGCTTTCATCACAAAATTGCACCTCTTCTATTTGTTTGGCTTCTGGATAGACGAGTCAGAGCAGCTCCATCTCCCTGCAGAGCTGAGTCCCATGTGGTTTTTAGTGGTACAGTGTGAGCAGTAGAGACTGACAAGGGAGTGAATTTTCACTCCTGTCCCATCCCACAGAAAAAAATCCTGTCCAGTCCCACTCCTGGTGAAATTACTCCCACTCAGGGGCCACTCAGGGGGTGGCAAGAGGGGGGCAGGATTTTTTGAGGGGTGGCAACATATGGCATTTGTTTACACTGAATTTAATCACAGTTATCTTTCAGTAATCTGAAAAGAAGCAACATAAAAATACATTTTGCGTCCAGTCTGAAAAAGTACAAAACATTTTGTGAGTAGGTTCATACAGGTTTCTGGATAGTTTCATACTATATACAAAAAAGAAACAACAACACTGCTTCATTTTAAGCAGGATTTACACCAGTAACACATTTTTTACTTTACTTTTAACACTTTTGGTTTTATTAAAGGAAATATCAGATTTTCTCAGGTGCCAAAACCACTATTGTGCGTTTTGGTTCAATGCAGCTAAACTTGATCGTCTCTTTTCTGTCATAGTTGACCGCAAATATGTCTTTATGAGCCTGAAACGTCAGGCCTAACTGACATCATAGGTAGAGAAATAACGTTCTGCAACCTGATTTTTATCATCTCATAATCAGCATTGCAGCTATGCTAGCAACATTGTGCTTTCATTAGGATTTAATTTCTCGATAGATAGTTAAACAGTTTTTACCTGTTTCATCCCGTGTCTCCTCTCCCCAT